ATATCATGCTGAGCTTCAGTGGGTGGGCTTCTGAAATGTTAGGACTGAGTTTATAAAGCATTGCAAGGACTAAATGACGATTATCTATCATTCCAACCTTCGTCCTCACCACTGACATACTAATATCTACTGTGAATCAAAACCAGTATTGAAATATAGGCCAAAGTTTTTGCTAAAACCAGTGGATATGACCCTTTACTTAGGAAAGTTGTATATAATACTGTTATCAGAGAAATGCGTGGATGGCCTTTCTCCATTGCTAGTGGGGGTGAGGTTCTTGGGGTGCCACTGCAATAAGCATTTCCAGAGGCCCCCACGGGAGGATGAGATGTGGTAGGAAGCTTTATTTGCGTGGAATTATATCCCTCGGTTTGCAAAGTCCTATTTCCCTTAATCCAGTCCTGGAAAATAGGCCGCTGGTGATTTAGTAGAGCTAGGAGCAAAGCCAGTGTCCAAAGTTTCCTTTCCATGGTGGCGCTGAGTCCAGTACAGCATTAGGCTAGTTACAGTCCATCAGTCCATTGTGTGGGGTCCCCATGGCGGTGGGCCACGTGAGCAAATGCAGAGGTGAGAGTCCCGCAGGCCAGGAGTCACGTGTGAGCAAGCAAGAGGCAAGAAAGCAAGAGAGAGAACTTCTTTGTTTAGGAGCTTAAGTATCTTAAATCTCCCTGCTCTTGCAGTGGCCATGCCTACGTTGGCCAATGACCTGTTCCCAGGTGTGACTGATAGGCAAGTATCTTCCCTGTGTCACCCAGACTTTACTGGGCATGCCTATAATATGGCCTTTCCTTTCCTCCTTTCCAGTTGTTAATAACTGGGTTTGTTACAAGGATATCAGTATATTTTAAGAAAGTTAATTTATGTTGCACTTTATAGAATATCAATAATTCCTAGTGTTATAAAGCTATGTCCTCCATTGATAGAGGGGGAAAAATTAACAATGCCTCAAATATTATTGTTCCAAATTGAGAAATTACATCTTTCTGTATATTTCTATAACCAGTGGAAGTTGATTGACTTTGCTTTCTTTAGAAATAACTGTGGTGACACAAATGTTTTAAAATAAATTTCTAAGTATAAAATGCTTTGAAATATTTCGTATTTTCAAGCTACCTATAGCACTCCCTGATTTCTGACAATCTTCATCTCCCTCCCTTACTCTGTCCTGCATCGTCTCTGAGGATCTCTAACAGGTATCATCTCCTTTGAACCCCTTGTAGTACAGTTATTAACAACTGTCCTTACTGATTGCTTACCCCAGGGTTTCTCACACTTGGCAGTACTGACATTTGGGACCGGATAATTCTTTGTTGTGTAGGCTAGAGTATGCATTGTAGGATATTTAGAAAGATCCCTGGCCTCTGTCCGCTAGATTCCAGTAACAACTCCCCATACTGACAATGCCCGTTAGTGTCAAAATCTTTCCTGGTTGAGAATCACTAGTTTATTTTCTACTAGACATTATTTCATTTGATTCTATCATAACTTTGCAAAATATGTAGGACTGTGTTCATCACAACCTTGACAGGAAACAGAACGTACACAGTGTGGATCATAGACTTATGATGCTTAGGGATGTTGAGGAGCCCAGGAAATAGCAACAGCAGGAAGCCATAGGGCTGAAGAAGCAGGGAGAGAAAATTGTGTTCCTGGAGCGCTGGGCAAGGTGGAGCCATGGACCGCAGCACCTCCAGAAGGAGACGGATGAAGGAGAGGCAAAGCTGTAGCCAGTGATGCGAGAGCAGAGGATACCCTGGCCCCTCCCTCCTCCTTAATCCTGAGGTCACTAGCCAGTCCTACCAGTAGGCTGAGCTCAAATGAAACCCAGCCAGCAAAGGACTGGAGTGGTGCAATCCTAGGACTCAGTCTCCATGGACTTAGAGACAGACAGAAATGGAATCTGTTAGGGGACAACAAAGGAGGGGGGGTTCAGGAAAAAACTACCCCCAGTTTTAACATGGAAAACTGAAGTTTACAGATACAAAGTAATTCATCCCAAGTCAAATAGCCAATGTATGGAACAGGCATTTAAATGCACATCTAAATAACACTCTGGTTTCTCTTCAGATCGCATGAACCTTTCCCCTTTCTAAATGTGCATCTGTTGATGTGCTCTGCAAAGGTATCACTCAAGCTAATTTGCATGAATGAACTTTTAGTTGAGCCTCTGAATTAGTCCAGGTTATTGATTTTAGTAGCTGACAGATGCAAGACCAGAACCCAGTTCTCATTCCTAATCGGTGTTCACTTTTTTTTATGTTGACCCATGGGAAGAAATTTAAGAGCTATCTATCCAGCCCGTTCTCAAATAGACTTGGAATGAAAGCTATTTACCAACCTGAAAAGCTTATGGAATTCTAGGTTTCATGTAGAATGTTTCAATGGCAGGGGCTGTTTTTCCAAGTTTTTGCACAATTTTGTCTTGATTTTGGAAACTGCCCCAGCTCCTGCGGTGTGTCAGGAGAGGGAGGGAGACTGGACTGAGAATCAGGGGGTTGGGGCCCAGCACTGGCTGTCATTCTGCAGGACTAGGGGCAATAGTAAAAATTCTATAAACCTCTCCTTCCCTTTTGTGTTCACCCAGATCTTCATAGTTATTTGCAGGCATCTAATCAAGGGGTCACAGCCCTGTGGAAAAAAGTAAGGGGTTAGACTTTTATGTTTCACAGCAAAGAGTCAGGCTCAGAAAGCACTGGAATCTCACCAACAACCCCATAGCTGGGAAATGGTGTCATGTGGACTCAATTCTACACGTTCCTACTGAAAACACGGTGCCTTTTCTACACCTTTTGAAGTGTTTAATCAATTGATTTACTCCCTCTGGACAGGCAATCTATAGTTTACTCCATTAGGGTTCATCATAAAATCATGCCTCGATCCAAGTCTCAGAATCTGATTTTTGTCCTAGATACCCATACAGTTAAGGATTACACATTTTTTTTCTTTCTAGGTTTTAGATGAATATATTTATTAGTTATTAGCTTTTCAGTGACAAAATGAGTGTGATTAGGGGAATTTTAAAATAAATATATACAGAAAAAAAGTCTAAGTAAAGTGAATGCAGTCCCATTTTCTCTCTTCAATCCTGGGTGAGTTGGATGCTAGTCATTCAGATTCAGACTTCTCCACTGAGATAAGGTGGTTGGACTCCTGGAAGGTCTGGCAAGAACCTTACGCCTGCCCCCAAACTGTTTTCCTTTTTTTGCCTCAAAATGGGAGGCCCAGGAAGTAATACATTTCAGGGGTACAGTTACTGAGCTTTCTGTTCTCTATCCTGATTTCTGCCCTCTCCCCACCTTCTAGTTTTAGAACATTTTCATGACCCCATTTTTTACTTTTTAAAATATTTTCAGGCATAAGATCAGTTGCAGAACACAAAAAATTAACTTGTTTTGTTTTTTGTAACTGAAGATTTCCTTCGAATTCTTATTTCACTTAGCTAGTTCTAAGAAAACCTAGAATGCAAGGGTTCTCTGTCCAAGGAGAAGCTGCAGAGAAGGGGTCAAAGAGAAAAACTTAAGTAGAGATATTTGAAATCTAAAGGCAAAATAAATAAAGTGATAAAATTTTAAGTTCTGCTTATGATACTTTTTGTAGTCTGGAAAAATAGAAAATTCCTTCAAGGAAAGTGTTTTCACAGATCAAAAAAATCTAGCTAAATTATAACATTGTACCAGATATAGGTGATTAATAGCGCTTTGAAAAAAGTTTTGTAATTTGTATGGTGTTTGGACATAAGGAAAGGTGGAGGAGCAGTATTTCCAGTATTTAGAAGGCTGAACTTGAGCTGGACGACCTGATTACAGATCCTGGCTTCATCCCATTTTACCTGTGACCTTGGGCAAGTTACTTACCCTCTCTCTATGTTTTGGTTTTTCGTTGATATATAATTGAGGTATAAAAATCCATATGCCATATGGATTTTTTTATGGTTAATCAAGTTAATATTGACAAAGTGTTTAGAACAGTTTGTCATAGAAATCACTATATAAAATTTAGCTATCACCAGAAATCACTATATAAATGTTAGCTATCACTGTATAAATCAGTGGAATATAGGAATCACTATATAAATGTTATATAGAAATATATAACATAGAAATAACTATATAAAAGTTACCTATCATCAGAAATGTCTTTTCCATAATCATTATTGTCTTCATCATCACCACCATCATTGTCATTGATTTCTACTACGCAGAAATTCAATCCAACGTTTCCATTCTTCTAAAACATAATTACTTAAAAAACTAATAAGGACTAATTATAACGCATCACTATTTAGAGCAGTTTAACCAAAGAAATAACAGCATATATATGAATAATGTGCATTTGTCTTTTGGAACGTATAAACTAACTCACAATTTTTTAACTCTAAGACTTGGCCACCCTTCCTTTCTAGTTCATTGTATATTCAATGTACAGAAAGTTTTATTCAAAGTGATTCTACTTGGTTTGGTATTATTAATGCTGAGTATATATTCCCAGGATTTTAAGTTAGAAACTACTGACAAAGAAATATTCCAGAAGTCAGAGTGAGACATAAATTATATGCTACCGAGGTGTCTTCTTACTACCAGAAGTCAGGCCAGAGTCCCTAAAATCACATTAGGGTACTGTTTTTGTGCTTATTGAGTTTCACCCTTGAGAAAATTAAAAGAGCTGACAATGAAAGATAATAAATCTTACTCTGACCCAAACATATTTAGTGACTAAATTTCCCATTACCAATCCCATTCTGTTAGAAAAAATAAGTAGAAAACGGTTTTAACTCCTTTCCCACTTTACATTTATAGAAATATTATAGCATTTCACACATATCATAAAAATAATTACTATGTTTTGTCTGTTTAATTCAAGGTTAGTGCTTTATTTACATGCTTCGGATTTTAATTTGAGTTGAGAAGGGACCAAGAAAAGGGGAAGCCACTTTTTATACACAGGAGCAATTGGCTCTCTGTTTTTAATTTTTATCTATTTTTCTTTGTCTCAATCCCCAGCCTCTGAGCCCAACTTGAAGGTGCGGTCCAGGTTAAAACAGAAAGTGGCAGAGAGGAGAAGCAGCCCCTTACTCAGGCGGAAGGATGGAAATGTCACTTCATTCAAGAAGCGAATGTTTGAGGTGACAGGTAATTGAGGACTGGGCAGACACACACTAAAAAATGCTGGTAGTAGAAATGAAAAAAAAAAAAAAAGTTAGAATAAACATGCCTGTTGCATATTAAAAGTATTTTGAGGAGTAACATTTCTTGAAAGAAGATAATATCGAAAACTCACAAGTAGTTCAGTAAACCTTGCCACATACTCGCCAACTGTGTTAAACAGGAAATGAATGAAAAACAGAAAAGTGTGTCCATCTAGGCATAACTAGGAAAGCCAAAGCTCACCTTAATCTTTGCAGAAACTCGCAGTCCATTTGGGGAATGCCAACCAGGAGAGTATAACTTTTAATGAAATTTGATGAGAAAGGAGCAGAGGGAGGTCCAAGAAGAACACTTCCCCCATACTCAGACATGAATGTACGAAATGCATCTGGGAAAATTAAACTGCGTAGAACAGCAAACCTTGACTTTTCAACAAATTTACAGAACTCATAAATGGCTTTATGTGTTTACTAGTGAACTGGGACTTATGGCAGGAGGGGGATATATTGCCTTTTATGAAGGGAAAGAATCTGTCATTTTCACTAGTCTCAAATGGAAGAGTTCTTATTTTTTTAGCTGCCCAGTTAGTAGTGGGGTGAACAGGTTAGGAAATTCAACCTGATGTCTTACAAAGCCCCGTAGTCCCAGTTGTAGCTGGTCTGAAATTAGAGAAGACCTAGGGATACAAGAACCAAAGGGCTCACCAAAACAATAATACCCACTACTGTTTATTGAGTACCTGCTTAAGTCTATGCATTGTGGCCGTTCATTTCCTTGGGCTGCATCTATCAAGAAGTGGGAATCTACAACCATTTTCCTCCATTCTCAAGGAAACGTGCACTTATACCAATGTGATCAGTTGATATATCATTTCTCCAACACCAGATCTTATCCTTAGCAGATTTTTTAAAAGTACTTGTTTTCTGTATTTCCTTTGCCAATGACAGTGTCTACTTTGGGGAGATAATATATACAGAATTGTGGAAGTACAGAATACTCATGCAGCTTATTAGTTTGACAGGTTATTTAGGGGAAAAAGTTTAGTCTCCAATTTTAACAGATGAATATGTTTATCTGAAGAAAACTATTAGTGGGAAAATTTTTCCTTGAGGGATAAGAAATATTAAAAAAATAAACAAAAATTATTTTACTAGAGTTTATGTTTATTTTATAATATCAAATGCAATCACTAATTTAGACCAATTGAATTCTAAATTCAGAGTTAATAGACTTTATTTTCAAGTAAAAATCTTCTGTAAGCTTTCATAGTAGAGGTCCTTGGTGGGGGTGGGGTGTTGGGGAGTGAACCTGTATCTTAATGAACGCAAAGAGTAATGAATGCATCAGTCGACTGATATAAATAGATATAGGTGATTTTTCCAATTGGCCAGAGGAGGCTCCCTCACAGCAGAAAACTTGAAGTAAACAGAAAGCCATATAAATTGCTTTTTTTTGGCTTCAGAATCTTATTACTTAAGGTCATATTTATTTATCCCAATGTTCTTTTCTATTTTCCTGTTAATCTCTTGTCTTGAGCATAACCTTTCCTACACAGTCACATCTCTCTTGACAAATTACAGTGAAATTTAGCTTAAGACCTATTGGAGTTACTATTAATTCTCATTCATAAGGGTTACCACTTGCTAGAGTTTTATTCAAGTTTATTTACTTCTGAAATGTCATGTTTTTCTCTTCCTAATGCTGTGAGGTAATGACTCCCCTTTTCAGCTGAGAAAAGTCATGTGTGTGCAAAGAGAGGCCTGTGCGTCCATTAGACACACGTTCCTGGTCAATGAGCGGGCCTCGTGGGGCTTTGGGAGATATTTTTAACTGGCTTGTTGTACTTACTCTAAATGTGTTTGGAGAGTCTGAACTACAGGACACAGCTTTCTTCACCTGTCCGCTTGTCCTTATTCTGCAGCTTGCATGTCATTTGGATGAGCCCTGCCTGGGCCTTTCTGCTAATTATTTCTCAGTCTAGCATCCCAGCCGTTGAGTTCCTCTTGCTCTTCTGCTCTCGCCGCTGCATCCTTCCGCGCTGCGTGGGCTCAGCTCTGCTGTTTCCCACCCACGCCGCCTCTTCCCTCCCAGTAGTTGACATGAGAACCCCTTGCCATCTTTTTCAAATTCAAGCTGTCCGCCCTTCTCCCCACCAAGGCCATGTTAGGTTTTCAGTTCTAAGTCTTCGCATGTCCCTGTGCCCACGGTGCCCTCTCTTCCACCCCCCCTTCTCCACTGGCCCCCTTTCCTGAACTACTCTTAGTCCAGCCCCAGCTGCATTATCTTTTCTGAGATTTTTCTCAGCATTCCCAGGATCAGTTGCCACCCCTCCTCCCAGACCCTTTCCAGGGGGAAGTTGTAGAATTCTGTTCCAGCATTTGTTGCCTTGAATTCTAGTGCTTATCACAGTGATTTCTACATAAGGAAATCCTTCTGTCTGAATATCACATAAGATAATATAAGTCATATCATTTTAAATTGATAAGACAGAATGTTGAAGGCAATAGTTTTAGTTGTTTTTTTAGAGACAGGATATGGAAATGAGACATCAAGGAAAAATCAGTCTTTAGTCTTACAGGAAAGACAAGAGTTAGGAATCTGGGGGGAAAAGACGCTCCTAGGAGGAGTTTTTTAAAGGTGCATTTTCTTCTTTAAAAGAAAAGTAACCAAGAAAGAGGCAACAGTAAAAAGGCAGATTCGTCAGAATGAATGCAAGATATAGAGACAGAAAGGTAGTGAGCAAGATATGTTATCTTAAAATTTTATGATGCCCAAGACTTGATGAAATCCCGCCTCACGTTCTTTCCATTGGCATGGCACTTCTGAGTAGAGAAATCTTTAGAATAGAAAGTTGAAATTTAGAGATGTTCCAAGGGAGGGCAAGCAAACATTGCCTGCAAATTGGGAGCTCCTGTTCCCTGGTGGACAGATGGTGCATGAGCCAGGCTGTGATCTTAGAGGTGGGATTGGACCTGCGATGAAACAGGCGGAGGCCAAGGTAGATAAAAGCATGAAATGGGAAAGTGGTACTCAAGGTGGAGGAGGCCATTTAAATGGGAGCGCAGAGCACAGGAAGGGGGATAACAGGAAATCATGGCAGGCCAGGTTCCATTCGGAAGTGGAGGAATGTGAACTGAAATATTTTCAGTGGAATATTACTATCAGGATCCTATAAGGGAGTCTGAAGGTCATTAGGAAGGTCAGACTTATACAGGTCTGCACCAGGATAAGGTTTGGACTTCTGAACTTTTGTCTTGCTTTAGAAGTACATTCTGGAACTTGCCCCCCTGCCTCTTACCTTAGAGTTTTATCGCCTGGACCTGACCAAACCTTTCTGAACCAGGCGCCACCCCATGCTAAGCAGCCAATAGGAATAGTTTCTTTGGTTCCAGCTTGTGGTTTTGCCTTTATAAGCTCTGGCTAGCTGCGTCTTCCCTGGGGTACAGTCCAGGTGGGTCCCTGAATCTGTTTCCAAGATTTCATTTTTTAAAATTCCAAATGAACTTTTGAACTGTTTTATAGCCTCAGACCTTTATTGGTGGACAGGCAGGTGGTGAAACTTGTCTCAACCGTGATCCATCTTACTGGCCACAGTTTAGAAAAGAGTTTTGAGAAACGACTGTAGTAATTCAGAAGTATTAGGAGAATTTTGCTAGAGTCCCTGAGGGAGTCGTGAGGGTTGAGGGCTAACCCTGAAATGATCATAGTCAGAAGTAGATGAAAGACAATGTAGTGAACAAAATGAATTGACCTGGTAAGCAATCAGATTTGGGCTGAAGAAGGAAATGAGAATCTCTAAGGGTAGTGATAAGCAGAGATAAGCAGGACATATTTTATATTGGAACACACCGAGTTTGATTCACATATAAAGAGAGATTAAAAATGTCCAGCATCCCAAAGGGATTCAGGCTGGAATTTATGAGAGATAAACACAAGAAATATAACTTTTGTGAGAATATTCCTCCTAAAGATGATAGTGGATATCACAATATTGAATGATTTTGACAAGGGAAAGAGAAAATGGGTAAGGCCATGAACTTAGGTGAAATACTCCCAAATTTTTCACCCTTCTTTTTATGTACCAACCTGGTGCTTGTCCTTCAGTTAGGGGGTAAAAACAATGTTCAGTGCTGGATATGTCTTAGTGTATTACTAAAGTTCAATTTTTGTTTTTTATGAATAAATATGTACTTCTCAATGTTTTTCAGAATCCTCAGTCAGTAGCAGTTCTCCAGGGTCTGGTCCCAGTTCTCCAAACAATGGCCCAACTGGAAATGTTACTGAAAATGAGACTTCGGTTTTGCCACCGACTCCTCATGCTGAGGTAAGACTCTTGTTATTTTGGTTCCTTTAAAGGTTAGATCTTCCTCAATTAGCCCCCAAAAACAAAGGGATAGTTCTCTATTGAAGTTTAAAGCCACCTGTTCTTAGGGATTTTTCTTATAAATTCATAATGTGTGGAATTGAATAAACTTGACCTTATTTAGAAAGTTTGGATGACAATCAGATTTGGAAATATTGAAATGTAATCCTCAAAAAAAACCCCACTCACTGATGCTGAGTATATACTGCCCAGAAGTAGAGCAGCTCAACAGTCCTTCCACTGGGTTCTTCTTTATTGTGATGGGAGCAGACCTATCGTAAGTAAAAAACCAACCTCATGCAAACCTCAAAGAAGAACAGTGTAGCAAGGTAGGTTTTATTCAGTTGACCTAAAGAGTAATGAAAAAAAGAATTGGAGCATTATAGTTGAGGAACAGTGGGCTCCACTGAGCAAACATTAATTGAGGACCTACTATGTGCCAGTTATTTTGCCTGGCAAGGGGGATATAAAGATGAGTAAGATATGAACTCTGTCCTTGAAGAAAGAAATATTAAAGGAAATGGGTCTAAAATTACACATGGTCATTTTTTTCTGATTGTATGCAGTCAAGTTTATTAACATTTGTTTTTCACTGCATGGTTTATTGAATCCAGTGATGTAAGAATAGAGGAAAACAAGTTAGAAGCGGCAAGAAGTTGTCTGTGTAGTTTCTGTGTTAGGCTAAGCCAAGGCTACGGTCTGGAAATAGCTACTCCTATGGAATCAGCTGTGTTGAAGTTGCCATCAGTTGACTGAGATTCTCAATTTTTCTTTCCTGTCATTTTAATGCCTCCTTACCATGCATTGCTCTATGCAGGGAAAGCTGGTGCGATAACTTCTCGTTTGTGACTTGCTTCTTCCCTTGTATTTTATAGAGTCATGGTACCGTGGGCTGAAACAGACTGATCAAATCTCTGATTCTTCGATCACCTGTATAGCTTTCCTGATATGTAATTATGAAATTTCTACTAGAACACTTCTACTTATAGGTCGATCACTCACACCACTGTCTCCTGAGACAACCTTGTTGATTTGAGACACTGAGTGTGACTGATAGAAATGTCTTCTGTATCTTATGCCACAATCTGTGTCTCTATAATTTTATACACACACACTCACACACATGCATACACATTTATAATAAATTATTTATAAATTATAAAATTATTAGGCCAAAATATCATTGAAGGCAGAAATCCAGACCTTATTCATCATAAGCAAAGGACCGAAGCCAGTGGGGTCACTTTTGCTCCTAGGACATGTCTGTACTTGGGTTTTGGTTTTCAGGACCTCACAAAGCTCAGGAGATAGAAAGCAAAGGCCAGTCTGACCAAGGAGAATAATCTAATAGGGGACCCTACAGACCTTAAGCTGGGATCCCAAAGCCCATATCTATGCTACACTGACACCCCCACCCCCAGAGGTGTCCTGATGGGGACCACAGTGGGCAGAATCTTGCCCTTTTTGGAACCAGGAACTAGTCCCTGCATGGAGTTGTAGCCCAAATTTACATAACCTCCAACTATTAATTTGCTTTAGAGTGCCCCAGTTTTGGAATTCCCTTGAGTTTCTGGAACAAGCAAATGTAAATTCTCTCTAGGGATCTACACCTTTATTCTAAACTTCAAAAATTTCCTCAATTTTCCAAGGAAAATGAGCAGAGTAGATAGATGCTGTCTCGCTTATAACCATCTTTTAGCTACTTGAAGAATAACAGTTCTGGCTTCTACATTATCTCCAGCCCCTTCGTCTGTTTCTTACCATACTGTTACTTCTCTTTCTCTTTTTAGTCGTCTTTTCCAAAACATAATACCTGATGGAATAAATGCCTCCTCTATATTTGTGGCCATAGCTGCAAGTGGAATTCTTAGACTATTGGTTATAGGTATTGTATTTGTTAGTGCAATTCTGTCTCCAGTATTGGTCAGTTTTCTGCCACCCTTTAGTTCATTTACAGGAAAAGAACAACTTGGTAACAATTATTTTTTAAGAACGTTAGATTTCCATTTGTTCTCATTTTAAAGAATGCGATTCTCGGTAATAGAAGGAATACTGAAGGGTTCTCTGGATGAACTTTTTACCCTGGAAAATTAAAATGACACACTAGACTACATTTGACAGAGTGTATGGTTCTTAGAAATTCATTGTTAGTGCAAAAAGGTGCAAAAGACCACTTTACAGCATGACAGTATTTTATAGGTTCAGAAACAGCAGCACGGGATTTTGATCAGGAAACCATATGTAGTAGAAGTATAATTTTAAAAAGCCAAGGGAGTGATGAACACAAAATTTAGCATGGTGGTTACCTCACAGGAGGGAGGAAGGGGGTAGTGACATGGTCGATGAGTAAAGAGGAAGATACACAGATTCATTCACTATGAGCACATATATATGCATACAGCACTTAGTACCACATAAAGGAACAACCAAGAAATATTATATATTCATGAGATTGGAAATAAATGGAAAAGGTGAGATTTTTCCTCTTTGCGTCAAGCTTTCTGTGACCTGTTAAATTAAAATCGGTGTCCCAGATTGTAACTTTAAAGGTCCTATCTTTGTATTTCAAAATATATACAGTGGAGAATGTAAATGAAAGGAATTTTAATCTGTTTTATATTCCTAAAAGGTTTACTGTCACAAATATTTGTTTAGATATTTGTGTAGATGCCCAAGAATTTCAGCTAATTGTTGAACATATTCTGTCACTATGAACTTTCCTTCTACCCCCATCATTTAAAAAAAAAAATAACAAAAACAAAAACACCAAAAAAAAAAAAAAGCCAGAAGGAAATGTGATTTAATGGAGTTTGAAAGAGTAGCAGTATTTCTTCAGGTCAGTGCCAGGACGTTCACCTCCAAAGCTGGAAACACTAGTTCAAAAGCAAGCGGTGACTTACCTCATAATGAATTAATTGTGTGCCTGAACTGTGAACCAAAAGGCCAGGTGGGCAGACCTTTCTGCACCGATGGGTAGCCTCTCCGTGGCCCAGAACAAAAAATTCCACCCTGATGGCTAACATGTGGTTTTCTGCTGCATTGCACTTACAGAGGTCTGTAATTGTAATTCAGACGGGAGAGGCGAGGAGATAGCACAAGTCAAACTAAAACTCTCAGCCAATTAATATCTTAGCTTTGTAACACTAAGCGCTTCCACTTAAACTAGAGAAAAGAGGAACAAAATATTTTCAGTCAATTCTTGAATCAAAACCATATTGAATTTAGTATGATTTTGAAAGACATCTTCTAAGATTAATAATAACATAATTTCATATCAACAAATATTGGGGGGGTATGAAGAATTAACATCATTAACTACACTTTCAAAAGCCAAGTTAGTTGCATACTTCACCATTTACAAAATAGGCTTATTCTACCATCTTTACTTAAAGATGGAATGAGTTTTTATTTTAAAATAGTGTAACCACGGGTGAGTTTTTATTTTAAAATAATGTAACAGTGCCTATGTGAATGAATGTTTTATTCTGCGACCTGTGAGTAGAGAAGCATATCACCTAATTCTTTGAGAGCCCAAGTCAATGAAAGGGATTCTACTCCCTTCTGCTCCTTGGGAAATAGGAAAGCAAGTCTGTATCTCAGGCTGATCTTAGGCAAAAAGAAAATTTTTTATCTTGTAATTCGCATGCCCTGCATAATTTAGATACAGGTTAAGACATAAGTAGGAGCCCGGCCAGCATGGCTCGGTGGTTGAGTGTCGACCCATGAACCAGGAGGTCAGGGTTTGATTCCCGGTCAGGGCACAGGCCTGGGTTGGGAACAGCACAGAGAATTGAAATGTTTGGGTCTTCCATTCAGAAGGCTTCGTGGGAGCCTGGCTCCAAAACAAACCACTTTGTTCTCATTGGTTAAGCCCTTAAACTTGCCCTGAACCTCTGATCTAGTGAAAAGCAGCAATCCCTACCCCACCAGCTTTGGAGGGAGGAATGTGTGTTTGCAAGGCAGGTGGTACATCGGGAGTGGGAAGCAAGTTCATTCCTCGTTGTTATCAGTGCTGACTCCTAATAGGGAGAGCTCATTAGCATGTTTGTCTTGAAGCCAACAAATCTCATGTGCGAAGGAGTCTCCATCTGCTCTGACCAGTTCTGTTCCATTTCTTCTGTTTCTTACATATGCTCAGTCCCAAACTCAAATTGTTGGAGCTACTTCCTTTACTCATTTGAAAACGTGGCTGGGGAGCTGAAGCCTAAGGAGTTTCTCTTTCCAATTCCAGTCAGAGATGTCTTTACCTATCTGGTTACTTTATTGTTAATACTGTGGGCTTGTGGGTTCAAGTATGTTTCCACGAATATCAGCACCATTCTTTTAGATTCATGGATTTATTTGATAGCTCTTCTAACAGTAGCCAAGCAGCTGGTTTATTTCTAGTTGAACATTAGTGGCTGGCTCTGCTGTGCTATTTTTTAAGTAATTTTTTCCAGCAGATACGAACGATTTCTTAAAAGGATTCTAATAATAAGGTTAAGTGCTCTAAAATCGTCGGAAATGTTGCTGTTTTGCCCCAGTCTCACATGACTCATCTGCCTATTGTTTCATAATAGTTGTTGTGACATTTGTTGTAAATGTTATGCTCCCTTCTGAGTGGGCGTAGGGCTATGGTTTTAGATGGCAGCAGATAAAAAAACCGCTTTCTCCCTCCTGGGGGAAAAGAGGTTGCTATGACAAAGGAATCATTTACTAGGAATGACATGAGTCAATATTGTAAAGCAAGACATCAATGCCTTTTAAATGCAAAGGAAGTCTTGTTAAATGATTTTTTTTTATTTATTTTTGTTGTTGTCTCCAAACCATTTTATAGTAATACATGCTTGGGTGTTCCATAAAAATAAAAACTTAGAGATTTTTACTGCCTAAAACATTTCTTCAACACGTGGAGATGTTGGTTTTCTATCAGCTGTCTGAAAGGAGAGTAGAAAATAAATAGTATCTTGAAAAATAGCCTG